CCCCAAAACCCCAAAACCCCAAAACCCCAAAACCCCGTAAAAATTAGTAGAGATTGAATTAGTAATTAAATTTTGACATGCCACTTAGTTGGTACTATCAAAAATTTGAGAAAACAGCCGAGCATTACATAAAAGATGAATCGACCAGAAAAAGCGATTCAGTATATTATCCGGGTAAAGCCCAAGAGATGCTTTCTAAATGCACTTATGATAACAGACCAAAGACAATTTGGGGTCTAAGATTGAGAAAGTCTTTGGCCGAAATATGAGCAGAGATCTTAAAAGGGAAAGAAGCCTAAGTTCTTTAGGAGTTGCTAAATATAATATAGAGAATGTTCTGGGAGACTACACTTGCCAAATTTGATACAATACTGCTAACTTGCGTAGGAGCTTGTTTAGTACTTGACTTGGCTCGGTCTGGTGAACTCTATGAATCTTTGAAAATATCTTCTTTCGCAAAAATTGAGCATGCATAAATCACTATCTTCCCTTGGATGAATTAATCCCTGAAAAATATGTACTCCAGGTGTATGAAGAGGCTTTGTGGAAGAAGAGAGAACAGTTAGGGATAGCTCAGAGACAAGGAAATAACCTTAATTGCCCAACTTGTGATAACCCATTTCTATTTATTGGTTACTGAAACTTATTATGATGTAGGATATGAACTACAGGCCATCATGTAAAGTACCAACAAAGAAATATCGGTAAGAAAATTATAAGTACTGAAATGGCATTCAAGAAGAATCGTAAGCCAGATAATATCGCTGTAACCGAGCAAATGCAGAGATTTACAGACTTAACACTGACAGAACCAAACAGTATTGATTTATATCATATCCTCAATGGCCCACTGCTTTATCCTTTGTGTTATCATTTATTTAAAGAATCAATAGAGAAAATGTTACTAAAGCAGCAAGATGCATTGAAAACTCATGACTTGATGGCTTCCACAAAGATTATTGACCAAAGCGATGTATTAATCATCAAGAAAGATAAGGAGATTGACCAATCTCTGCGATTGGTCCCTTATCGCTTGGGCATAAGGTTATGGTACCAGTTTATCAAGCCCCAAAGCAAAGAAAGAATGCGGGAAAGCTCTAAAATTGTTCTCAAAAACAGCAAAAATTTGTTAGTCGGCATAGATTTTAAGTTAGGCAACCAATCAGCTATTACAATCACTGAAAAGAGTGATGAAGATGAAGTAGCACAAGATCTACTGAAAGAGGAGGCTAAAACCCAGTTTCATGGTCTAGAACAGAAGAGCCTTCATCTGTCAGATTTGAAGAATTGGAATAAAGATCTTCTCAAAAATCAGTAGAGGCATGAAAATACAGAATTTGATGAAATAAACCTAACAAAGGATATCTCAGCTCAGACAGAGGCGCAAGTTATGAGTGATGAATTTGAAGATACGAAGGAGACTTTTGAAGATTCACAGGAAACTATTGAAAACTCACAAGAAATAGTTGGAAATGATTCAAAGGAGACCTACCTAGTGTTCTTATCACAACTATGTAATACTGAAGCTTTAACTAAGCCAGATATACCTTTGATTGGGATAGCTAAGGTTGGAGAGCCATGTTATGTATATTTGCCAACAGGTGAGTTCCATTTGATTTTTTACCCAGCCTCTAAAGATATGAGGTCATTTCAAAAGCTGAACCACAAGCAAGAAAAGGAAGATTTAGTGTTATCAATGAAAGAGCACAAATTCTTGATGAATAAAATTGTCTAACTAAAAACTCTGAATGCAAAATTTCAATTAAGATTTCTAACCCCGGGGTTTTGGGGTTTTGGGGTTTTGGGGTTTTGGGG